CAATAACAAGTCAAAATATGAAACGTGGAGTGTTTAATTTTTTTTTTTCAAAGAGAGATTAGATTTTCGATCGTTAAATTTTAAAGAATATTTTTCAAGGATTAGACAGACCAGATTTGGATAATTTAAAAATAATTGTTTAAGAACCATAAGAGCTATAAACGAGAACATTTATTTTTAATCAACTACTGGCAGAACTATAATCATGGATTTTTTAAAGAAAAGTTTTGAAGAACAAACAAAGTTAAACTTGTGGGTCCTTAAAGAAGTTAAAGGACTTTCAGAGCTGTAATACTGAATTTTTAAGGAAAATCTTTGGAGGATCCTCTCAGTTCAATTCGTGGATTTTTTAAATAATGTTCCGAATGGCTAGGGGTCTATAAGTTTTTTCTAAGGATTTCTCAACGATATATTTGTGGATTTTTTAAGAATATTTCTGTAGCTATAATCGTTGATTTTGTAAAGAATGGCTAGGCTGCTGTGAGGTTTTTCTAAGGATTCCTCGAAGATATATTTGTGGATTTTTTTAAGGATATTTCTGAAGCTATAATCGTGGAATTTTTATAGAATATTTTTGCAGGAGTCTCAGAACAATAATCTTGGATTTTTTAAAGGATACTTTTGTAGGACTCTCAGGGCTATAATTTTAAATTTTTTAGATAATGTTTTAATTGACTTTCAAAACTTTAATCGTGGATATTTTAAAGAATATTTTTTTTAAGGGACTACTAGAAATATAATTGTAGATTTTTAAAGGATAGTTTTGAAGGACTCTTAAAGCAATAATTGTAATTTTTGGCAGTATTTTTATTTGACTTTCAGGGCTATATTCCTGGATTTTTTTAGGAATATTTTTCGGAGGATTCCTATAACTATAATCGTGGATTTTACAAAGGATATTTTTGAAGGACTCTCAAAGCAATAATTGTGAATTTTGTAGGCAATATTTATAATGGACTTTCAAGGTTATAATCGTGGACTAAAGGATATTTTCGGAGGACTCCCAGAACTAGAAGAGTGGATATTAATTATGGAATTTTAAAGGATGTTTCTGAAGGACTAGCGAGCAATAATGTAGATTGTTTACGAATTATCGAACATAGATTTGTGGATTTTTTAAAAAATATTGAAAAAAAAAAAAAAAAATTGAAAGACCCTCGAATCTATAATCTTGGATTTTTAAAGGATATTTTTGAATTACTTCCAGAAACTATGAATGTGATTTTTTTGGCAATATTTTTTATATTTTTGAGGGACTCTCTAGACTATAAACGTGTTTTTTAAAGGATATTTTTGAAGAACTTTCAAAATTCTAGTTGTGGATTTTTTAAAGTATATTTTTGGAGGAATCCCAGAACTATAATTGGGATTTTTAAAGGAAATTTTTAAAGGACTTTCAAAGCCATAATCGTAGAATCGTGGATCATCGTTGTTTTTAAGCATATTTTTGGAGGACTCTCAGAAATGTAATCGTGGATCTTTCAAAGGATGTTTTTCAAGGACTTTCATGGCTATAATCGTAGAGTTTTAAGACTCCCAGAACTATAATTGTGGACTTTTAAAGGATATTTTTGAAGGACATTGAAAGCCATAATCATGGATTTTTAACGGATATTTTTGCAGGACTTTCAAGGTTATCATCGTTGTTTTTAAGCATATGTTTTGAGGGATCTCAGAAGATTTATTCCTAAGGGACTTTAAAACCAACAGCAATGTCTTCTTAATTTTTTAAAGGCCTTTAATATTAAAATTTTTTGATTTTCTGCGGATATTTTTTTACGGCCGTTAGTTGTTATTATTTCAACATATTTCATAAACTTAAGATTGTTTTTTTATTAACATTTTATTGAGCACTTCCCAGAATTATAAGACAAATTCGTACAGCATTAATTATTGCCAGGTAACACGTTTAGTTGTAAAGCCCATTTGCCGTTGATAAGTATTTAATTTTAATCCAATTACACAAAAATAATTAATTACAATTATATTTTTCAAAATACTTAGCATAATTACAATTATGCCATTATCAAAATCAAAGAAAAACAAATCCAATTCTAATTATGCTTAAAGCAAATTGTTTTGAAATGCATTTAAAGAAGAAAATTACCAATTAGTCTGGTAGTCTATTAAATTCCATTTTTGTGAAGTCATACTTCTTCATTCACATCAGGCATTCATTCATTCATTCATTCATTGTCTGGCAAATATTTCACTTGGCCATGATTCGTACGACTTGCATGAATGTGTGTGTGTGAGAGTAAAATATTTTTTTCCTTAGCCAATGATGAATGTCATGCCATATGTGAGTGTGCGTGTGTGTGAGTGAGCTTGTGTTTTGGAATGCCAGAAATAAATTCCTTTAATTATGATTGCTAGTCTCTGTCAGACATTTCGGTACAAAGTCGAGAAGCGCAAAAAAGAAACAACAACATTGCTTCGTTAGTCTCTAATGGAAATAAATGTTGTGTTATGAACTTTCAACAGATTGTCCATTAATCAATAATGTCCTCTTTCTAATTTTTTTCTTTGCCTTAATGGATGTCATATCATTGCTGGCATGTGTATTTTTCCCTCTCCTCCCTCCTCTACAATTACCATTGGAGATCGTTACTACCATGTATTCCTTATTTTATTAAAGCTGTCAAAATAATGGCTTTCTCCATAACCTCACTCTCTCTCTCATTTTCTCTTTCTCATCCCATGGGAAAGAAATCTGTATAAGAAAAATTATTTTGAGATTTTATGCGAGTTTCTTACATAAATGTTGTTGTTGTTGCTGTTATTATTATGGTTATTGTTTTTGTTATTGTATTTACGTTTAATATTAATAAACACACATAAACATTAATATTGGTTGTGAAGGACAAGGCCGTTCGCCGTTCGGCACAGGAGACGAGAGCGAGAGCAAAAGCAGTACAACGAAATTTCAGCAATCTCGGCATGATTGCTATTTGTATAACTAAGTGTATTTGCTTGTGTACATATGAAAATGTTGTATTTTTTTATATTTGTGTGTGTATGTGTGTTTACACACATGCATATATAAGTGGAAGCTTTATTTGTATATTAAATGTACATAGCTAGACAGTGGTTTGCAGAAAAATTATTAAGAGAAAAAATAATTGTTTTTCAAAGAATATAAGGACTATTTCTTTTAGTTTTTAAAAATATTTTCTCAAGATCATCCAATCAACGGATGTGAATTTTTTAAGGAATATTTTTTTCAAGGACCAATAAACGTGGATTTTTGATGTATATTTTTTCAAAGACAAATACACGTGGATTTTTAAAGAATTTTTTCAAGGACCAATAAACTTGGATTTTTAAAAAATATTTTTTCAAGGACCAATAAATAATTTTTCAAGGACCCGTGCACCAATAAACGTGGATTTTTAAGGAATACCTTTTCAAGGATTTTTAAGGAATATTTTTCAAAGACCTTTAAAGAATATATTTTCAAGGAACCGTACACCAATAAACTTGGATTTTTAAAGAATGCCTTTTCAAGGATTTTAGGGAATATTTTTCAAAGGCTTTTAAAGAATATATTTTCAAGGACTTTTAAAGTTTATTTCTTTCAAGAACCCCAACAACAATAAGAGTGGATTTTTTAAGAATATATTTCCAAAGACCTCCTCAATTAATTTTGAGTAATATTTGTCCAAAGACCAAAAGACAAATATACGTGGATTTCTAATTGATATTTTTTCAAGGATTTCAGAAGAATTTTTTTTAAGGATTTATGAAAAACATTTTTTCAAGGGCCAGCAACAAATAAACAAGGATTTTAAAAGAATATTTTTGTAAGGATTGTTAAAGAACATTTTTATGAGGACCAAAAAACCAATAAACATGGATTTTTAAAGAATATTTTTTAAATGATTTCGAAGAATATTTTTCAAGGATCAAAAAGCAAATAAACCTGGATTTTTAAAGAATATTTTTTAAGGATTTTTGAAGAAAATTCTTTCAAGGACCAAAAAAATTTAAGAATATTTTTTCAAAGATGAAAAGACAAATGAACGTGGATTTTTAAAGAATATTTTAACAAGTATTTTTATGGAATATTTTTTAGGGAGCAAAGGACAAATAAACGTGGAATTTTATAGAATATTTTTTCCAGAATTTTTGAGGAAATTTTTTCAAGAACCAAAAACAAATAAACGTAGATTTTTAGAAAATATTTTTTTGAAGGATTTTTTAGGAACATTTTTTTAAGGACCAATGGACATGTTAGCCTGGATTTTTAAAGAATATTTTTTTCAAGGATTTTTGGAAATTATTTTTTCAAGGACCAAAGGACTTTTAAAGAAGATTTTTTCAAATTTCGAAAATTAAATTTGAAGAAAATAAAAACGGTATATTTTGAGAAAAAGAAAATCCAAATTTATACTGGTTGAGAAAACAATGGCATTTCGAGAAGACCATCAGAGATACAATTTTGACATATTTGGCAAAATTCTGAAAATATTTTTATATGTTGTCTATGAAACTATTTTTATTTATTAAGCTTTTTTGAATCTGAGCCACAAATTCAAAAATTCTAAGATTTTTTTCGTGTTACTATGAGGGTCAAAGAGGTTAAATATTGTAAATGAATAATCTTAGAATTAATTCCGAAGAATTTAACATTTTTGAGATTTCTGCTGGGTGTGCCTGTCTAATAAAAAAAATAATAAACAGTCGATTTTGGAAAATTCCAATAAAAACATCAGAAAGATAATGGAATATAGAGCGTAACTTAACAATTACCTTATAAATCAAACACACAATAAAATAACTAAAAGAAAATATAAGAATTTTTCCTTTCAGTTAGTGTTATTAATATTTGCCTTGTAATTAAAAACAGCTCTTTTTCAATCCTGCCTTTTTCTCCATATAATGGTCATTCACACTGTGAATTTGTTTCCTTTTTATATGGGTATTTTTTCTGTCTCTATCTCTCACATATATATGGTATTGTATGTATATCAATATATGTATATAAGTGCTCCACTTACCATCGTGTGAATCGTACAGATAAATTATTTTACGCCATCCGTAAAATTGTATTGTATCGATGATTGCCTGATGATAGTCCGGACGCATACTAATGGCGAAGTCCAGAAAACCGGATGATGGTGTAAGCACCTGTAATGAAGCGAGAAAATAAATTATGAATAACCCAGTTTGTTTTCGTTGGCATGCAAATGTGCATGCGTGTGAGTGTGTGTTTTTTTATTCAGAAGCACAAAATTAATAAAACTTTTTCTTGGACAAAACAAAAAAATGGAAAAATTTATATAAAATAAATATTAATTGAATATTTAAATTGAGGTGAAATGTTAATTGATTACAGTTTTAAATTGGCAGATATGGTTACATATTTTTGTTTTGTGGTAGTATTTAAATGACCTTCATAAAATTTGTGCAAATGAACCAATTAATTTATATGAATCATATTTTTAATTACAAAAGTCATTGCCATTAGGTACGAGGGAGCCTTAGGATAGCATTTCCAGCTAAAAAATAAATTTGTCACAAATACAGAAATTATGGAGTCTTAGAAAAGTTATGAAGCAACTACAGTCATTGTAAAATATCTCAATTGATATGCCGCTGTGCCGTATACTTTATGCAATATTTCATTCGCACAACGTATACGTAACAGTATACCATACACATTACTGGTTTTTGTCATAGAGCATCGTAAATATGCGTAAGGTGATAATTATACGCAGTAATTTTATGAATTTGTAGAACGAAAAATTTTTGTTTGCGCCAAACGTTCTCTCATAATGGACTATCAAAGAAACTGCTGGTGATTGGATAATAAATTAATGGCGGATTAGTAAACTACCTTCGTTAAAAATTTTCCGCAACCACACCTTATTGAACATGGCACGTTTCGGTATATTTTTAAAGAAGAAAGGATTTTTGGATAAAAAAACATTATGGGGGAGTTTTCAATTATACAGTTTAAAGGCGATGCAGAAAGTCTATTAATTTCCGGAGTCATAATTTTCGCCCACAAATATACATTTATAAGAATATTTTGAAAAAACTGCTGGCAATATTAAAACGAGTTATTTTCTTATTTGATTTTTAACAGGATTTTTCAACAAGAATGAATGTGCTTTTAAAGAAATTTTTTTGGAAGATTTCCAGGAATATATTGCCATCTAATTTAGATTTTAAATATAGAATATATTTTTGAAGCGTTGTAAGATGTGTACAAAAAATTTTTAATTTTGATGCAGATTTTGATTCAAATGTAAAATATTTAAATACTTTTCCAGACTTTTTTTAAAATAACCAGACCATCAATTTTTTATGCCCTCCAATATAATATGGAGGGTATATTAAGTTTGTCATTCGGCTTGTAACACCTCGAAATATACATCGTATACCCCACAAAGCATATTTATTCTAGATCAGCATAAAACTATATGTCGATTTAGCAATGTCAGTCCGTCAGTCAAAATGAAGCAGGTTGATAAAATTTAGCTCCAATGTAAATTATGTCAGTAGGAATTTTGGTATAGAAAATGGGCCATGTAGGTCCACATTTTGGTATGGCCCCCATATAATTGAAGTTCCTAATTAATATTACAGCCTATGACAGAAAATTGTCTGTGCAGGTCCACGTGTTCGTATAGCCCCCATATAACGGTACTTCCCGATATTCGGTATTTTAATGGTTTTAGCGACATTATTCGCCGGAATTTTTTCAAATTTGGTATTTGAAGTTCGTAATGGATACTGCAGCCTATGATAGAAACAAAGACCTAAAATGGTAAAGACTAGACAAAATGCATTCTGAGCAAATGGTTTGTGGCTATACTACCATGAATAACAGCTCATGGCATAGACATGTTAATATAAAAAACACAATTATAGGAAAGAATGACAAATAAAAGTTTGGATAATCCAAAATATTGGTTTCAAAATTCTATTCCATATACCTTCCCAAATAATTGCATATGGCCTGAGCGTTTGAAATTGCTTAACATTTGTAACTATGTTGTTACGATATCATAACAACAGAGGTCTATTTCACAGGGTTGCCATATTTTACTCTGTCTTGTCCTATCTTTATACTTCTATGTCTTTGATAGAAAATTGTTAAGGTATTACGGTACCTCACTATATTTGGTATTTTGATAGCTAAATTCTCACCGAAAATTTTCGCATTTTAATATTGTAATGAGTTATGACAAAAGTTGCCTATGCAGGTCCACGTCGTCGTATAGACCCTAAACATAGTGGCTGCAGTCGGTATTTTTAAAATTTTAACAGAATTTTTAACGGATTTTTTTTTATATATTTTTTTTTTGAAAATTGATAAATTTGTTCTAAATGGTGGAGGGCGTTCAAAGCTCGGCCGGGACGAGTTTTTTATTTGGATAATACGTTTAGAAATTTGAGCATGAGAGCATAAGACCTTTTCTCGTTAAGTCTTAAAACAATTTACGGATTTTTCAAAGAATTTCGAATTTTTCAAATGATTTTTTGAAACAGTTTTTTGAGGGGAAAATGCTGCAAAAATCATGAAGCATTTCGTTCTGGAAATTTTGGAACGTTTTAAAAGCATATTTTGCAAAGGATCTTCTACTACTGGGTATATATTTTTCATATTTTTAAGCAACATCAGACTTCCTGTAGTCGACCTGTACGGTCTCTGTAAGGATTTTTTAACATTTTTCCAGTAATCTTGAAATACGGCACTAGGTAAAAAAGTGATGTAAGTGGTTATACAATTTTTTTGCTATCTGTTTAAGGAAAAAATTGTAAACAATTCATAAAAAAATATATATAAATATATATTAATTTCAGCCAGACCGAACTTGCAATACCCTCCACAATGGCATAACGTTATTTTGTTGTTACAAAAAAATTAGACTCAATCCCATCATTGTTGTTTTTACAGAAACAACGGATTAAGCCAAATCGGCGAAATATTGATTATCTACTGTTATATGGGGGGCGTACACGAAAACGTGGACCAATTTACCTAATTTTTAATAACAAACAATACTAGACAAAATACACAAATCTCTATCCGATTTTTTTCAAATTGTTTTTTAGAAAACATATTTGAGGAAGTGTGAAAGTCTCGGATTTTTATGAATGAATTTGAGTCACTATCAGAGTCTCAAAACTTGGATTTTTTTAAAGGATATTCAAGAGGTTCATGAAGTTTTGAGAATAGCTTTAAATGTTTTCTTTTTTCATAGCTTGTATACATTATCAGACCTTGGATTGTTGATTCACAAAATATTGAAGGACTTTTTAAAAATACATCGGATTTCCTATAGGATTAAGAATATTTTTTTCAAAGAAAATTCTTTCGATTATCGGTCTGACTGTTGTGAAGTTCCTAGTAGGAGTGTTTTTAAAAACGAAACGATGTTTTTTGGACAATATTTTGAAGGTCCTGTTAACGCCAGACTATTGATTTTTTTATTTTTGAGAATATTTTCGAAAAAACCAGAGTCGCAATTTTGAATTTCTTAGAAAAAGATTGGAGAATTTTTTTTGTGGAGAATATTTTAGAAATGCTTTTTGTCTCTTGGTCACTTGGATTCTTTTTTTATAACTATATATTTTTGTTAGGCCCAGATAAGAAGTTTCTTGAGGACACTTCTGGGAAATTATCAGAGCCAATCATGAGCAAATTTTTCGGAATATAATATTTTTAAGGTTAACGCCAGACTTGTGATTTTTTGAGAATGTTTTCGAACGCACTAAACTTCTTAGAGACAAAATCTTTTCAAATTTCATTTTTTGAGAATATTTCCGGGGGACATTTTTTCCTTTGCCCACTTGGAGTTTTTTAATATGTATGAGAATTGTTTAAAAATATTTTCAAGAAGGCCAAAAAACGTTTTTTGAAAATAGTTCCGTGAAAGGCAAAAGAGGCGGTTTTTTATGAATATTACTTTAGAAGTAAACTTCGCATTAATTGTCCGATGAAAATTTCCAAATTTAACTAGTCGTTTCTTTCCCTTTCGATTTAAATTTTATTGGGAGTCATAAGTTTAATATTGACACATACCGACTTCAGCCTAGAAGGAAATGTGATAAAGTTGGTGAAAATCGACTGTCATATATATGTATGCTTCAGCCGATTTAATATTTAAGGCCCCACAACCGTAACGTATTTCCTTCTCTAATCAAGAATTGAAGATGGCGGTCTTGCTGATCACTTTCACCAAAAGTACATTTCCGATAGTCTCATATGAACCACGATGTTTAAAATCATATCTAAATTTGGTACTGCTATAGGACTGAAGGTATGGCAAACAAAAACTTTATTTTGGTAATTTTGCTATAAAGTTGGCGACCTTGAAAAGAAACTTTCTGGCTATTCGAAACGAAAAAACTGAAATTCTTCATTAAAGAAATTTCCACGAATCTCTATTTAATTTCGACTTTTCACGAAATGAATTACAAAACAAATTGACAAACGTTTCCTTTGATACGGCAAGTAATTGATGTTATTGTAAAGTTATTTTATGTCTTAAACAAAAATAGGCAGCAGGAGAGTTGGAGAGCCTGGTAGATGAACATGTTCTTTATTATTGTTGTTATCTAAATTTGTTGTTGTCATTTTCTGGAAATTGTACTTATTGTCATTAAATTATCGTTATCAAAATGTCATCATTATTATTTGATGACGGTTGGTGGGCCGTTCTATTTTTTTTTTTTTGTCCTCATCTTCCTTGGGTTTGTCAGTTATTTCGCACATTATTGTTACAACTTTATCCTACGCTAGATTTATATGACCGTTGTTTTCTCATGGGCTTTGGTGAACGGGCACAGCAGAGAATGGTCATTTATTTCATGAAATTATTATGATTTGTGGATTCTGCCATTTATTTGAACAAAGGGCATAAAAAAAAAAAAAAAAAAAAAAAAAAAAAAACACAGAAAACAGCGGCCGGATAAGTTGCCATGGCGAAAAGCGTTGCCAATAGCTTACTAGTTTAATAACAAACATAAACTGCTTAAAAACATTTCGTAATATCGGTGGGATATTTGGCACAATGAGAAAAAACAACAACCAGTACGCCAACAACAATGTAACAATTCATTTTTAATGGTTTTCCAGGAAAATTTGTTGGACTTCCATCCAAGTAAGACAAATA